TTTTTCTTTTTTAGGGTATTAGTTTCTATGCTAAGGGTAGATGTTGTCCTAACGATGGTGGATTGCTCAGTTCTCTCAAGTGTGGTGCCAAAGCTTTAGCTCTGTCCTGGAGCTCCTCACTGCTGAGCCCCACATATTACTGGCCCACAGCATCAGAAATGGGAATCTGTTGCAGTAAGGCACTAATAAAGTTAAATGGTGGGAGCTTTTTATCTGTGTTTGGTTTCAGGGGACGAGGTCTCGGCACATTATGACCCAATGATTGCCAAGTTGGTGGTGTGGGGAGAGGACCGATCTGCTGCCTTAAAAAAGCTGCGGTATTGTTTACGACAGTACAATGTAAGATACAAATGCACACTCTTAAATGATGCTTTGCATGTCGTGCTGCTGATTTTTTTAATTTTTTTTAATTTTTAATGAGCACAGGATTTAAATTTTTTTCATATAGCCACTGTATGTGCGAGCTTCAAAAATTGGTGCCGAACACTTGAAAATGATGTTTTTGCGTCCTGTCTGTTCGTCTGTGCCCTCAGATAGTAGGACTAAACACCAACATAGATTTCCTGCTGAATCTTTCGGGCCACCCAGAGTTCGAGGCTGGAAATGTGAGCACCAGCTTCATCCCCCAGCACTACGCTGAGCTCTTCCCCACTCCGAAAGCACCTTCTGGGGCAACAATCTGTCAGGCAGCCCTCGGCCTGATACTACAGGAGAGGAACCACACACTGGGATTCACCCAGAGCTCCACTGGTGAGGAGACAGAGATGATATTGTTTGGATCAGGACAAATTACAGCTGAAAATCTAAGTCTGTGCATCTGTGTTTTCCAGATCCTTTCTCCCCATTTGGCTCTAGCTGTGGTTGGAGAAACAACATCCTGTTTAACAGAAATGTGACACTACAGGTGGGAGATAAAAGTAAGTGACAGCCATACTGTGACTCTGTTGCCAGATATTAAATCGCAATGACTGGCAGGTTAATACAAATGTCTGATAGGGTCAGATCATGAATTTCTGAGATTTTATAAGGAAAAGGTCAACCTTACCATGTGTGTCGGTTCTGCAGAAATTCTTTTCTAAACATTATTTAACATCGTACGTCAGGAGAAGGTTGTGATTTTACTTTTTATTCAGTGTGAAACTAGTGACAGTAATCTGTGATAGCCCACCTAATGGATTCCTTCAAAGGTCTCACTACATTTATTATGAGTCTAGACTGATAGCTAGCCCCCAGCAGTCTGAGCCTGTAGCAGCATAACTAAGGCAAGCCTTCAGGGTCACCTGATCTAGCCCTAACTGTGCGCTTTATTAAAAAACGAATGGATTGAGTCTAATTTTTAAAATAAAGGGTGTCTTCCACAGACTGGGTCCACAGGACAGGTGCCTGCTTCCCTTTGTACTTTTAGAAACTCTAGGAACCGCAAGTGAGCTTGCAGTCTGAGAGCAAAGTGCTCTGTTTGGACACTATGGTACTTGGACTTAGGCTGTTAAGATATGGTGGGGCCTGATTATTGACATGATTTTAAATGTAATTGTGGATTTTTCTTGGAGCCAATGAAGAAAAGGTAATATGGGGGAAACCTGATCTCTTTCTAATCCCCGTTTGTACTCTTACCTGTTATGTTCTTTTAGAAGAAGCCATCCAGAGTAAAATTCTGGTTGGATATCATGTTTTTAAAATATTTGGGGCCAAATACAGTATCCTCAATTTTATCTGAATTTAGAAGAAAATACAGGTGAGCCAGGGTTTTATGTCTTTAACATACGCTTGTAATTTAATTATTCTTTTAATAAGGTTTCACAGATCAAGCTGGGTATCATCTGTGTAGCAATGCAA